ATCAAGTAGGTACAAGAGCAATTAAGAACTGGGAAACCAAAAAAATTTAAACAAAAGCATGTAAATGAAGCATCCAACGGGAAGAAGAAACAATATAGGCGAAACATCACTTCCAAAGAATTGGTGGATAAAAGGCAAATCTGTGACGGTGTTCAATTGGATGACGCAGATTTAATTCAAATCCCCTCGTGTATGTTATCCGTGTGTGACGTACTTGGTCGTGACGGATAACAGTGTGCATAGTTCTAGTAGCGCCATTCTTGCATTGGTTTCGCTTGGAGGACTACGTAATTATCATGCCTACGCAGCGACAGAATCTTTTCATACATATTTATAGGTTATTTTTATCAGTTACCTATACAATTCTTTGAACTAGTGGAAATATGTGAAAGTGTAATACATTGATGCCATTCGGATTTTAAATTTGAACTGTGCTGAACACGTTTTCTAATTCCACTTATCATACATACTTCACATTTATCGCCATTACGACACCATGGTGGTGAACACGGAATACAACTATCTTCATGTATAACTTCAGCTTTCCGGGATACGCCGTGTCGAATGTTGAAGGCTTTCCAACCTTTTGGAAAATACTGCATTTACCATCTTCAGAGTGAATGTACTGGCAGGTTCAAGAAGGTTTATCTTAGCGAAAAGAAGAACGAGATGCTATCCAATCGGTAGCGAGCACGTGATTGCGAAAGAGAGATAACGCATGTGGTTTTTGACGACCACGTGGTAAAGAGAAGAGATGACGAAAAAAGGGAGAGAACGGGATCAAACAGTTTAAGCGACCAAATTCAGTACAGTATTCTTCTTCACTGTTATTTCTTAAATAGATGACCAACAGAACATATAGTATATCTTCACAAGCTCGCCACTGCCCCCTCTCCCTTATTACACGTATAAAGTCGGCAGTCGATAAAATTTTAGTCTTTAATAACAGCGTCTTTGTACGCATACGATTACGTGGAGCACACATTACAGTGCAATCTCTGCTAGTATCACGATATATCAGAAACAATGCCTGAATATTATCTTTGAAATTCAAGAAGCAGATAGTGGAAAGCCCTAGGTTTGCACCGAGACTTCGATAATTTTTCTATCAGCTCTATAGGGGCACACTGTAGTCTTTGTCTGAGAAGCAAGAAGAGTTTGTTTTGTTTTTTTGCTGTTTTGTCTCTAAACAGTAAAAGACCGTTATACAACTCAGTGTTTAAATACGAACATAAACTATGTTACAAATTGCGCATCACGATAGAGTAAGCTGAGGAACTTCCGTCTAAGTTCCAGCTTTTGAGGCTTTTTCGGTCGTGGTTCAGAAAGTTCTATTCTAATTATACGTATCATTTTATAAAGACGGATTATAACATAGAATTATGCAAGTATGTATATAATACGTTGATGTTTACTTCGTAAGGTGGTGTCAATTTAAAAAACACCGCATTTTCCAACGCAAAAGATTTAATTTTTTCGTTTTTCAAAGTAAATTTGTCACGAAGACACCCTGAGAATGAAAGAACTCAATCAGAACCTCGTATTTCTTGTATGCACTTCTCGCGTCTGCAAGGTAATATCGTGCTCAAATGGCGACGACTACACTGTGGCATAGCATTTCATTAGAGACATGCATTCCGTTTATAACTAACCTGAAAAGTTTGGAGTGACATGCACTGCACTCTGAACCAAATTAAATAAACCGCTTCATTATCAGCCTGTTATGTTCACTAAATTGAACTGCGCTGTGCTGTGTCTTGGAACTGAAGCAAATTTTGAATAGATGTTAATTTCTGAATTTGAACACACAATACTCTGTAATAACATTTTACATACGAATGGAGCTGTTCTTGCATTTAGAGTGTCAAACTCCCGCTGCTGTTAAACTATATTTGTATAAAATATTCTGTTTCGTTGCATTAGAGAAACAGCAAACCTTTCTTTGACAGAGCGAACACACAGGCACCGACAAATATGGACCTTCTATAGCATTAAAAATACGAAAATATGGGAAGTGCTCCTAATTTTAAATACAACTTTTATATAGATGTCACTAATAAAATCAACAGAAAGTTGCAACTGTAAAGCAGATGGATAATATATTGAATTATGGGCAATACTTTTATAAGGACCAGGGCGAAGAAACTATTAAACTGGTAATTCTCACCCAACAATTTCCGTTAAGATGGTTAAATGACGCTTGAACTGTTTATAGGTCAGCAGTAACTAGATACCATCTGCTTTAATGTTTACATCTCCGTACATTGCCTACGGATTCCCATTACGATTTCATTTCGTTCCGAGAACAAAAAGGAATTTTCCACTTAAACATCATTAAAATACATTTATAACTGTAATGAGATGTTTTAGTGAAGAAACGCTTGAATTTTTATATAATTTTTTGATAAATTTTGTCCTTCAAAGTGTCAATCTCTTCATTATTGTTATGGAATTGGTGACATCGCTTTTACTTTAAGATTTTATCACAGTGCTGACCAAAATAAATCATATCATAAAATTAAAAGGGGAGGCATACATTTAAAGATGCACAGATTATATACCTCGATAGACAATGTGAGTGATTGGCTTCACGTCCTGACAAACTTCAATTGGTTCTTATCGGATAGGAGACTTATCGGGCCCAGAGTTGGTCTGCATGTGGTGTAAATTAGAAGAAGAAAAAACTCTGCCCCAGACATGACCCCGAGCTATCTCAACCCACGAACAATAACTCGCCACGTGCGTAATAATTTCCTCTTTTACTCGCCTTTTCATACCGCAAGTTGGCAACAACGCGAATAAATAGAAAATAAGGCCGTCTCCATAAACAGCGAACGAACTTCAGATAAGTACACCGTAAATGCATATATGAAATGGGCTCCTGTTGTTCTGACTTGGCTACAGATACACTGATAGTGAATTATTTTCACTACCAGCTACACTGTCAGAGAACTGTCAACCTGCCAGAGTAGGTTAACACTGTAACTTGGCGTGGCACATATTAATAGAATAAGAATGAGTTCCGATGTAACGCACACGATGGAGTGACACCGTCCGAACTCTCTACCCCAAACCCCCTAACCTCAATTAAACCAACCAACACAATTTTTCAATAATTTAAGAGGAATGCAATCATAGCCTCAAAGGATAAACGACTGTATTTTAATACACGACAAGCTTTCCCCTTCCCATCGTGTCAAACACGATCCCTGACGAACAATAACATTAAATTATTTGATTAAAATGGGACAGCAACTGGAATGGCAGATATTCTAATAAAATAGAGCCATCACTTTTACGTACATTATTAATGGTTTACCTTCCATTAGATAAGAAAGACAAACATTAACTTAGATTTTCGCGGCTGAAGTTCGGTATATAACATCAGCTCTTAGGTATGAGCATCTTCGAATGTTGAGTGTTAACCAACGTTTCGGCAATAATTGCTATTGCCGTCTTCACAATAACTGCAATGTTTTGTGTGTGGCTAGTGCGCTAAGCAGGTTAAGAGTGAATACAGATTCCAGCAGGGAAAAAAACATTTCAAAGTGTTTGTTATGCCTGGCTGGAATCGTTATCCTAGTGGACTACCTCCCACAACCTAATACAGCTCGTGCACAGATGTTCACATGATCAAAACCTATTTAGGCCACATTTTTGTATAATCGCTTGCAACTGTAAATGTGTTTCAGAATGACCACATGAACCCATAATGAAGTGCTAAGAAGGTGAAAATTATGCGTAACATAAAAAGTACAGTAAAGAGGACTTAGGATTAAACTACGTTAAGTCAAATTAATCGTAAGGAATGGTGCTGTGAATATTAAACCGTATTATCTTACAGCAAAGGCACATATTCCATACGCAGAGAGATGGCATATAAAACACTATTACGTATAAATCAATGCTAATAAGGTATTTACTTTGTCATTTCAGATCAATTTTAATGCATATTTCAGAATTCAGCTCTCTGCCTTGTTTTGGAAAACCTGGCAGAGGACAGTACTTTACACAAAGATTAAATACGAGTATGGCTGCAAGACAAATTTAAATTGTCCAAGCTTTTAGTTTAATGTCATGTTTATACTCAAAAGAAAACTGTTCATGCATATATTTACTGCTAGTTTATTAACAGTTTCCTGAAATAAAGGTATAAATTATTAAAAGTTAAAATAAATCCAACTATTTTCGGCTGTACGTAACTTCAGTTGGACATTTGAAAAATGAAGACGCCTCCATTATTTGGATTTAGTTTTAAAATGTGATATATATTCGGGTCTCTCTTTAATGTACAGTAATGAAGAAGTTAATGTTAATTATTACGAGTACCTGTTATTGTTGACTCAGGGGTGTTTCTGTAAACATTTCTATAAAATGTTGTTGCATATCCGCATATGTAACTTGTATAAATTCATTGCGATGTTTGAAATTTCGCGTAACTTTGAATCCTAGCATTGCTATCTTCGCTTCTAGCCATAAACTTATTACAAACGTGCAATAACTCCACATAACATCACTCACATCTCATACGACAGAGTAGATTGAACAAGATTCAGTCTCTGAAAAGAGATGTCTGATATTTACCAATAGACAAAAGACCTATGGTTAAATTACTACCTGACGTACATAACCGGAGTTTCTATTTTGCCTCCAGTAACCGGTTGCTGCCAAGGCAAAAATGAGCCTTGTGAAGTAGCAACTGTTACAGTGGTACCAATATAGTCACTGTTACTGCTGTTTAAATATTAAAAAAAAAAAGGAATCCCACGACTGCGAAACACCAGGGGCACAGGCACCGAACTAGCCACTTCTAGCACAAAACCTTCAACTATGGGCTCGGGGTCATTCGTCCCACAGACAAAGCTGTTTCTGTCGCACATAGTACGAAAACAGACTGCACTTCTTACACGTCTTGATACCACAACGGTAACTGCCCGCAACTGGTCCTACTTTCCCATCACCTTTTCCCTTGCAGTATTTTAAACCGCAGGGGTACCAACCTATGCACATCTCAAGATGACACAAACACGGCGTCCATGGGTCTACAGTCTCGAGGCACCGCCCTGTCGACGTCGCGGGATCTTCTTCTACGACATTGGAGGCGACGTCAGCACCGTGATGGACTCCCAAAGGTACGTGGGATGGGTACCGGGTAACGGCTCCCAGCAGTGCCGACAGTGAAGCACCTGGAACAGCAGCAGAGGAGTATCAACAGACGTACAGATGCTTGTATTCACCGCAGCAACCCATCTCGTGGTTCAAGCCGTGGCTAGTTTCACCTGGCCTGCAAGCATTGACGGCAAAACGCCCGAAGTTTCTGGCTGTTTGTGGACCAACCAAACAATTGGATGATGATGATGATGATGATAATAATAATAATAATATAAGAGCAACAGGAACTGTCTCCAGGTCACTCAGAAAACATTTGGCCAACATTCCGGGCGAACACGACATCAGGGAACTGCAGATTATAATTATGGTAGAATTACCGAGGTCACTTTGCGACTTGTTTTTCTGAAAGTAAATGTTTACTGCATCTGTTTGCCTGTTCGAAACTGATATACTCCAAATTAATCAAACTTAGAGGTTATTTGCAAGTATGCAACACGTTAAGTAAACATTCACATACACACATTTCCAACAGTTTAGTACATTTACAGTACTGAATAAATTACAGGACTGGAGTAGTTTAGTTATCAAAAATCATGTTGATTTAATCAATTAACGTACGAAGCAACACTAATAATTGGACTATGAACTGCATATGTGTTGTTTGTATGACAGGTGTAAACCTAATTTCCTGTCCTGCTGTAAACTGTTTACACACGCGAATTAATTAGACGAAGTTGACAATGCACACGACACACAGGACAGGGAGTTTAAGATTTATGAGGCACTGTGTCAAGCGACTACAAGAACCACGCATTTATTTAAAACCTTTCCCATGTATTGGGAACGCCATAACTGTAACCCAATATTCAAAACTCGTAATTACACAAGCTCATTTATTGTTAATAAAAACATTGTCTTAACTAAGTCTTGTTGCAGAACTTGTTCAGATTAATTACGGAGGCGAACTTTATCTTATTGTTGAAGATGGCTGTCTCCTGGGTTGCAGCCTGGTTGTAGTCTGGTATAAGTTTACCAACGTCGGCAAACTTACACGGCGCTGCAACCCAGGAGACAGCCATCTTTCACACTCGTTCCCGCGAGAACCACAAATCCATCCTATCGTTTATCTTAATCACGTTAAAATAATGGAAACGATTGACTTAAGGAATTTATCTGATCGTCATTTAAGTAGACATATTTCATCACTGGTTTTAAAGTATGATAATTTAATGATCTCCCATGTTCTGTGTGAATGGAAAATTATTTCAACCGAAACAGAGCGCTGTAGATGAATGGCAACAACAGCGATAGAGGGGCAATCCTTTACATAGCAGCCAAGAGTATAAATGGTGTTCTCTACAGGGAAAAACTCAGTTAATTATTTTACAAAACGAAAAGAACTGAATGAAACATCAGAAGGATGTGAGAATTTCACTGTTACGAAAGTCTGCAATACGCCCATGAAAGTGGAACTGTTTCTATATACCGTTATTCAGAATAACAACTGAGATCGGATTCTTATTTTTAATGTAAGACTTGAGGTTCTCACAGCGGTGAATATGAAGATTTATTAACAAATTCCTTACCAACGGCGATTTTCCCAGATGCAAACTTCAAGTATCCCGTTTGACCAACCGCGGTTGTTGGTTCTACGTATTCGCGGTTTTCTGTACACACGAAAAAAATCAATGGCTTCTGCACCATGAGATCCACACTTTCTGCGGGTAGGGTCGTAATATCTCCGTAACTGATTTTCTAACTCCTCATCAAACGCTTCAGCGTATCTTTTTGTGATACTTCTCCCTTCACTTCATGTCTACAATTATTACGTAAAAGAACAGACCATTTAGACTTGAATGAGTGTTAACGAAGTCCGCGGTTACACAAACTGCTTACATTCCACAAGACCTTGGCCTTGTCAACCGAGGCGTATTTCGGGAACACGACCGCCCACCGTTGGCTAGGGACTGGCTGCCCTACCTGAGTTCCTTGATATTCTATTCCGAGTGATACGCTGATGGCAAGACACACATCACTGAGCGAGGATCTGCTGTAAGTAGTGTTGTGTACTAATCAACTGTACATGAGGCTGATGCCCTGCAGACAACAGGAGTTGCACATCAATTATAATACGCCTACTGGGCGTCATGCCCAAGATTTAGTGCGACCAACCGGAAAGCGTTCCTATCTCTTGGTCACATACAGAATTAACCATTACACAATAGTTTCTATATCACACTGATCTATCCGGAGCACATTTAATGACACCATTACGTGGAAAGAGCTGACAGATCGCAAAAGGAAAACCCTTCTAATGTCCACAGACTACACGGCAGCTACGTATTTACAACTTCATAACCATGTTCTTGCCCCCGTGTCTGTTTTTGGTTAGTAATAAGGATCAGTTGTTCGCAGTCTACTAATATCCATTTTGTTTAAGTTCATTAACCACTTTAAGCCTAAGCCCCAAAGGAAATATGGGCGTATGTATTAACTTTTGTTTTTACCCAAAATAATGTTTCAGAAAAATGTCGGATACTCATAAAACATGGTAATGAATAACATTTCATTAGACACCACCCCATCTTTGAACATTCTGATTTCCCTTCGACAGTAAATACAACATCGGAGTAGTGCGAATTTCTGTGGAATGTTCACTAACCGCTATTAATAAACGAGATGGCAATTTTGCGTGGTTAACAGATCTACAAAACAGATGTAACTTTGGTTGATGCAATCGTCTATGGACTGTAAAATAACATGGCAGCTGCGCGAAATCATCTTATTCGCAGTTTGAAGACAGCAACTAATAAATCACTGGAGCTAAATGTGTATACTTTGGTATAGAGATACATAATAAATATATCCATAAATGATGTATGAAATATTTTATATGATAACAATTAAAATTTAAGGTGAAAATGTAATCAGTACAAAAAAAAAATTAACACGGCTAAACAAAGGGACAGAACGACATAAAAGAGTACCCAAAAGGATTCCAAAATATTAACCAAAAAAGGAAACGACACAGAGAACCCTCGGAAAAATTGGAAGTCTGTGAAGTCGGGACAAATTTCAGTGTTTATGCCATGAAGCGAAGAAACACGCCAACATGGCGACGGTAACAAATTGCATGCACTCAAAGTCTTTAATGATGTAAATTATGCTTAGAGGCAGATCGCTAAATTGTATCATTGTTTACAAAGACACTTACAATAACTAACGGAAGTGTATTCATTGCAGACGTTCGATCGATACATGCTGGTGGCGTTGATTACAGATTAAAGAAGTGGCAACACTGTGCAGACTATCACACGCTGTTAATATAAACTTCCGTTCAATGCCTTTAACGATGATCGTCTAAAAAAATACACGAGTCCTTGTTTTACGAAAGCCATTCGTTAAGGAAAAAATCCGTAAAACAAAAATTAATTTCTCATGAATTTAAAGACAACATTTCCTGATCTATGACATAATTACCTTCCGACTGTGATCAGTCGATAAATACAAAGTTTTCGAGTACAAATTAATACAAGTCTTGAAATTCAATGTCATTTTTCGATACAGCCGAAAATTATAAATATGTTTCTGAATTTTAATGGAACAACGCAATGCAAAATTGCACATAACACAATCTATCGAAGACAATACCAATGCGAGGTACGCTGGCGCAACTAGCAGACGTTGTGAATTTAATAATTCTGTTTGCAACGAGGTCAGACATCAATTTAGCAAGACACGAGCCTTGAACTCTTGTATGCGAGCTGAATCCCTCCCTCTCTCCGTGGTTAGCGATTAACTACATTCACTGCAATGAAGTAGCATACCTTCGCTTTTCCTCAAAAGTACACTAGTACATACTGCACACTACTCCGCCATATAAATGCAAAAATATGCGTTGATTCAACAACTACAGACCTACAAAAAAAAACCGGTAACAGACAACAAAATAATAAAACAAATAAAAATCAGTTACGTCGGACATGCTCCGATACTGGTACAAATGTTTGTTCGAAGTAACAGTTTATACGAGCTGAATATTTTCAGTCACATTAAACTAAGAAATAATTATTCGAATTATGTAATTAACATTGTACATATGTGTACTAACAGTGTTAACTTTAATTTATTCTACAGTTTTAAAACCAAATTACTATTTGAAACCAAGTACTTGGTAAAAGCAACACAAACTTTACGCCAGTAATTATCGATAAGTGGTAAACTTGGCAATTAGGCAGTACACCCGCTGTTCTCCTCCAGTAAACCGTGCAACAGGGAGACGGGGGTATGGGTGTCTATAAATTTAAGTATCCAATTTCCAGCAAACACGGAATGCCTTCGTTAGAACAACGAATGTGTTGTTTGCTCCCTTCTTTAGTCATCCATATGGCTTCATTACGCAATTAAACAGGTTCGGACCCGGAGTCTAAAAGCATGGCAATTTTTGCGGATTTAAAGACCATTTCCTAACTTGTAATCAGACTGAAGAAGTATAAAATGGTCCAGCGGTAGGGTTTCCTCAAATATGTTCTAACTGGCCTCAAACTATTGTTACTCAGCTTTTTCCCATGATTAAAGCTCACTTCAGAAGCAATTCCATCAATCTTGATTCGTGGGTTGTCCCGGATACGCTGACTAATGTTTCCTAATCTTAATACATGTTACAGTCTGAATCTATCCACCTACAGAAGACTCTCGATTATCGGCGGGCGGATTAACCGAGGTCTAAATGGTTAAACGAAAATTAAATATGAATTTAGAAAATTTGCTGTAAAAGTTAGAACGTTTTAAAAGAAAGAAATAAGTACAATGGCATTATTTAACGTATAAAGAATTTCTTGCTAAAACCGGAAGTTTAAAGCAACAGAACGTTATTACTACTACCAGTCGAACTCCTTTTAAAAATAGTTGGTATGTACTGTATTAAATTTATATAAGATCCTTCCTGTTATTAGTAAATCTTTAAAAAAAAATTAGTATATGTCTGTAAATAAACTTCCGAATTTGTTACATTTTCGTGTTTTTCTTTTATTTTTGCTGATTACTCGGGGTTCCGATTATCCGGATAAACGTA